AAAGGGTGGTCCAAAACATCTGGAAGGCCAGCAGTTTGTAGATCTGGAGATACACTGTTCTGCCAACATCATCAGATCAAAGAGCAATTTGAGAGTAAAGATGTAGTGAGTTAAGTACCATGGAAGTGACAGGGACAAAGATAAAATGCTAGGTGCAAGGATTTGGGGGAATCGGAGATAAACTTTGTCTGTTAATTATTGAGATGTGGTCTAGATCCTTTGTTTATATCTGTACATTGTAGTGATAGCTGTCAGTACTAACCAGAGCTTAGAAAAGTTACATTTTGGATTACAGTTCCTAGAATCCCCTACTGTCACTGGCCATGCTTGTTTGAAGATTCTTAGAATTGCTGCCATAATTTTCTAAGCTCTGGTTTAGTAGAACCAACTGTATCATTTTTTTTAAATATCACTGTTGGGATTTCTTTGCAATAAAATCTATGTATTCCCAGACATTGTAAATACTGGGTATATATCCAAGGACTCCGGTTATGTTTCCATGAGCATGTATACCTCATAGCAAGTTCCCATTGAAGTTCTTTGGTGGTTTTAAAATTATTCCTATATTGCTTCTGGTGAAAGACAATGAGACCCTGTGACGACTAGCCAAGAATTGATCAGATTGCATAGCAGAGAGTTCTCTGCCTTTTATCCTACTGGTTGCACGCATCTGTTTCATATGCTGTTGCATATCACTTGTTCAGCTGGTGGAAAATGGTCCATCGGGGAAATCAGGGCAGCTACAAAAAGCATGCCTGGGGATTTAAAATGCAGTAAAAGGATTCATTTCTATGGCATCGACTGAACTGTGGAGCTTCCCTTTCTCAATGGAACAAAGGCAATTGGAAATGGCCATCATCATGGGAAATCTTCTAGGGAGTACCTTTCAGTATTAACTTGAACTGTATGTACTCGGTAAATGACATGTGGATTTTAGACCTTGGAATTCAGCCTTGATTTGAGGCTGCACACTACACAGACAGTATTAGTATGCTTAACAATACAATACTATGCATGTTTACTCAGAAGCAAAGCCCTACTGTGTTTTACAGAACTGATTCATTTATTATGATGTTTCAGATTTCAGCTTTAGTCTGCAACCTTGGGCAGACGAATGTCCCATTGAACTTAAGTGTTACTTCTGAGCAGACACAGATAAAATTGCTAAATTGCTATGTTAATTTGTTCTTATGTTTGTGTGCATAAGATTGCAGTCTTAATTAATGAAATCTTGCTTTGCAAATATATTCAGGTACCTTGCTCTTTGAGTTGAATCAATATTTAATCATACTTAAAGTAGATGAATTGAAATCAATGAGTTTCACTTAAGCTCCATTGATTTCAAATGGTTCCAATTGAAGGTGAATATATGGATCCACCCAGTAATTGTAAAGAACCCATCAAAACAAATCTTTAAAGGTGATTTCAACATTTCAATTTTTGCCAAGAGCCAAATGGCTAAAAATTAGCAGTGCCTTGTAAATATTGTATAGAAAATATGACATACCAGTTTCACAGAATGGGTAGTGGCAATGAAGGTGAAGAGAATATGATACACTTTTGCAGCATCTTTTCTGTGTATCTATCCAATCAAACCACTGAAGTCAGTATGTTGGCCCTTTACAAATGTAATGGGATTTTCCCCTTCTGATTTTGAGGCATGGTTTATAGGAAAGTGGGCATTGAGTGATGAGGCAGTGAACTGCAAATAGGAAAGCCATGCATTTTTTGCCCTAGCAGGGCCCCTTGCTTATAGTAAAATATGACAAAACTCCACATAATACTCCAAATTTAAATAAAGTCAAATCACAATGAAGAAAGTATCTATTAATAGCTTTAGTAATAGTTTGAAAACTCAGAGCCTGAGTACTGTAGTGGTTTGAATGTCAGACTAGGGGCTCATTCCCTCTACAAAATAACCCGGTGTGGAAAATAGGTTATTTTGTGATTGAATCTCTCTGGGGCCGTTTACGTACTCCCCCTTTACTCCCTTTTGTCGTTCACACTTAAGGTGGGGAGAGCAAGAATGACTGCCATGGAGAGAGGAAGAGGAGGAGAGGAAAGAAAAGGCAACTCCTTCTGAACAGACCTTGCTAAGTTGGAAATGACTTGAAGGCACACAACAACAAATGGAGGAGGGATGGCAGCATGGCAGGAAGGTTTGGCCCTGGCGGCTCCTCCTCCAGATGAGCTGCCCTCCGGTGCACCCCTCACCTTGTTGCTGCTCACTAGAACCCCCTGGGGGACCCTCTCTGCCCATGGCAGTGGTGGCGCTCCATCTCCCTCTCCTCCTCATTGCCCCAAACTATCCTCAGCACAGCCCCCAGAGCACCGGGGCTTGAATCCCTCAATGCAAATCCAACCTGTTATTCCCACTTGTTGAACATAGTTCGGATTTGGGTCTTTTCAAAAGAACTTCCCAAAAACTAGTGTCAGGAAAGAGCGGTTCTTTTGTGTTTGCCTTGCTTCATCACAATTTAAACCGAGTACAGTAGGCTCGGAACCGGTTTCAACAATGGACATATAACTCAATCAGCAATTTGGGTTAAATCCTAGTGGGAATGAGGCCCAGGACTCTGGGAGAATAGGGTTCATATCCCCACTCAGAAATCCTCACAGAAAGTCACTGGGTGATCTTGGTTAAGTTGCACTTTGTTAGTTTTGCACAAAGGTGTGGAAAAACCCCTCTGAATAAATTTTGCCAAGAAACTCCCCATGATAGGGTCACAAGAAATCAGAGTTGACTTGAAGGTATACAACAAGAACAACAAAACTCATACTTTTAAAAGCTTTGAACAACAAAAAGGCCTTTACTTATTCCTGGACAGGTAGCAAAGCTAGCACAGGTATTCTCTTTTGGGAGAACTTCCATAGAATTGTATAAAAGGGAAATTCTTCTTCCCAGTTGTCATCAGCTCATATGGTGGCAAAACTGAAAAGGGAGGCTTCACAGATGATCTCAGCAGATGGGCAAATGGATGTGGGAGCAGGCATCCCTTTAGGTGTCCAGGTTCAAAGACATGTAAGTTATAACAAACTGGCACACATGATTATTTTCATGGTACAATGTCTCCCTTTTCTTTCTACTAGTCTGAGGTTAGTGCCCAAGCTGTTGCTGTTGCTTGGGCAGATAATTTTTCTCATCCCCCATTTCCAAACAATTAAAAGTGTTTCTAATTTTGCTTAATAAGCCACCAGATCCCATCATGTAACTACCTTTCCAAAATGGTGGGATTGCATGCTTCGGTGAGGCAAGAAGTTATGCTGATGGTAGCAGTACTGCTGCTAGGTTCTCCCCTGCCAGACAGGTTTTGATGAGGAGCCAGACTAAATGATCCAAACAGCTACTGGGCAGCAGCAGTAGTGGAGGATGACACTGGTGGAGTATCTCTCAGAGGCAATGGCAGTAGCACCATAGCTAACATTTGCTGATACTGCTCAGAAGGAGGCACTGATACATGCTTTTGAATATCTTTTATCATGAGAACCCTATCATGAGAGAATCCAAAATGGAAAAAATAGAGAGTGCTGGAAGTTGAAACTGCTAAGTCAGAATGCACTCAACAAGCTACTGGGGAAGAGCAGAAGGCAACTATGAGTAGCACTATAGTAATGAGGCAACTGGACTCAAGCTGAAAAGATGTTCATCTGTTGACATGTCAGAGCAGAAAGGAAAGTCCAAAGCAGCAGAACACATATTATAGGAACATGGAATGTGAGGAGCATGAACCAGAGGAAATGAGATAGAATAAAACAAGAAATGGAACATATAGGCATTGCAATACTTGGGGTGTGTGCACTAAAGTGGACAGGAATGGGACATTTTGAGTCAGATAACTACAGTTTTATTCAAGAATTAAAAATCTAAGAAGAAATGGGGTGGCATTAATAGTGAACAGAGACATAGCAAAAACAGACAAAGGATATAATTCAAAGTCTGAATGAATCATTTCAATAAGACTTCAGGGGAAATCTGTCATTATAATGATAATCCAAATTTATGCTCCAACTAGAGAAGCCTGTGACTTCATAGGAATGGAGGCATATTGTGTTGCAAGAGAGGGGTCCTTGTTGAGATGCAAATGGACTTTAAATTTCCTGGACTTTGCAAATCTCCCAATAGTCACAAGGCCAGAAGGAGGAGGAGACAGCCTGCAAAAGATACCCTCCACTTACCATCTTAACTAAGGACAGAAACATCAAAATGCAGGCATCTGACTAACATCTCCAGTTTTTTCTCTGTTTGGGTTGTAACATCTTGCCTGATCAAGAAACCCATGGAGCTTTGAAAGCTTGCAACAAGTATATTGTGCATTTTGGTTGGCCAATAAAGGTATCACTGTTTGGCGGGGTTTTGTTTGAATTTTTTGTTAGTGTTTATTTTTTTTAGGAAAGCATATTAAAATATAGTCTGACCCACATTTTCTGTTGCTCTGCTAATGAAAGTTGGACTCTAACAAGTTTAACTTTAATACCTGCATATTTTGGTTTACCTTTAAAAGGGTTAATACCCTGGGAAACTAAAATTGCACCCCACATAATTCTATACATTGTGTATGTAATTATATTTCTTTTCTAAAGGAAAGAGACTAGACATGTCAATGTATTTACCGAAGTCTAAAGTTTGCCAATTGAATAGTAGTTTCTTCATGGGAATTTATTGGAAAGAGTTATTCAGGGATTTGGCATTGCTTTCCTTTAAGGCTGTGAAAACCAGTATGCTGTAGTGGTTTGAGCATTGGACTATGACTTTGCAGACCAGAGCTCAAATCCCTGCTCTGCCATGGAAACCCACTGGGTGATCTTGGGCGTCACACTTTCATCCTCAGGGTATGGCAATGACAAATCTTCTCTGAAGAAACTTGCCAAGAAAACATCTTGATAGGTTTTCCTTAGGGTCACCATAAATTGGAAACAACTTGAAGGCAAATAACAACAACAACAACCATATCAATGGCTGTGAGAATGTGTCTTGCCCAAGATCACCCAATGGGTCTCCATGGCTGAGCAGGGATTGAAACCCTGGTCTCTTAAGTCCTAGTCCAATACTCAAACCACTATGCTATACAGACTCTATTAAAGTACAGTAGGCCCTCTATATCCATGGTTTCTTTATCCACAGATTCAATCCTCCATGACTCAAAAATATTAACGAAAACATGAATTCCAAAAAGCAAACCTTCATTTTGCCATTTTATATAAAGGACACCATTTTACTATGCCATATTATTTAATGGGATTTGAGTATCCATAGATTTTGGTATCCACAGGGGGTCCCGGAACCAAATCCTATTTGATACCAGAGGTGCACTGTATTAAACCAGACATGCCTCAAACTCTCTTGTTTTCTTACTGTTCGTTTGCAGCTCTCAGCTTTATCCCACTCTTTGTATGTGAGTCACACTAGCTGACATTCAGTGAGTTAGATTCAAAGCTTATGTGTCAGCAGAAACCTCTGACTGCAAAATACAGCTTTAGATGCAATTCTGAGATCTGTCATGTTAAGCGGTAATAGGCTTGAGCATCACAACATGACATTATTCTTCCTAAAACATTCCTTTCCTGCTGCAAAAAATGAGAAAGGGGAGGGGGGAGAGAGAGAATGCAGGCACTCTTTTTGAACCATATATATATCACAGAAATAATGTGCTCAGTTGAAAAGATGTGGTAATTGCACTTGGCAAAGGTAACTCCAACAAATGTAAGGTGGAGAGGAAGAAGGAGGAGGAGGAGGAGAAGGAGAAAGGAGGGCAGCAGCCTGCTTCTTGCCATCTTATGACTTGCAAGTTAGCTTAGGTCCAGGTTGTCTGACAGTACATATCTTCATATATATAGCTGCACATGTTTTGAAATCTTCTGGGGAGGCACTTCTTTCTGTCCCATTACTCTTATAGATACATCTGGTGGGAACATGGGAGATACCTACCTTTGTGGCTGTTTCCAGGTCCTGGAACTCCCTCCCTAGAAAGGCTGGACTGGCATCCTCTTTGCTATCCTTCCCTGGCAGGTGTTTTGTTTTAGCAGGCCTTTGGAGACTGATTGCTCATAGGGAAATGACCTTTAATAACGTACTGTATTATCTATAGAGTATTTGTTGTTGTTGTTTTTCCTTTAATGGGAATGATCTTGATTGCTTTTAATTCTGTTGATGGATCTATTCTGTTTCAGTTTTGGTATGATGTGTATTTTGAGATGCAGCAATGTTTAGATGCAAGCCACCTGAGTGCCAGGGCTGAAAAAAAGGCAGAATAAAATTCATATGCATGTGAGGAAGCTTTAGTCTATCAAAGCTTATGCTGCCAACTTCTTTCTTTCGGTTAATCTCTACAATGCTACAAGATCTCTCTATATAACATACATAAACCATCTGATGCTAGATCCTCTGTGGAAACCAATTTTAAAGTTCATGACAAGGGGTGCAAGCACCCAGTACAAACCACCTGATCCATTATTTCCCAGGCTTGAGCCCTTGGGATGCTCTTGAATGTCAGACCTCCAAAGCCCTTGCCAGTATAGCCAATTATGACAGATCCAGTGAGCTGAACTCCAACACTATCGAGGGAACAGCAGGTTGTGAAGAACTAGCCTAGTTGACTTCTTGAATGTCATCAGCTTTATTATAAGTGTTTTTAATATGGCATCAGTCCACTACATAATTACATTATCATTCTTTTGTTAGCAACCATCTACAAACTCATTCTTTTATAGGAGGAGTGGATGATACGTGGCCTTCTAGATGTTACTAAACTGCAACTCCCATGATCCCTCATCATTGGTTTGTTAGAGCTGGGAGCTGGAATATAAATTAAACAAAATGAAGTGAATCTGAAGCTCTGATAAAAGTGGATATTTTGATATTAAATGTGCTAAATTGCAACAATGGTGCCCAAAATCACTTCATATATTCATCATGGCATTGTCAGGTAATAAGCCCATAACATAGATTGTTGTGGTTTCATAATCCAAAGAAAATCCAAGGTTCTGCCCAAGGTGTTGAATCCTATCACACTCCAAAGAAATTCAGCATCTTGGACTAAAACCAGAGGGTATACACCTTCCCACTGCATAGCAGGGGGTTGGACTGGATAGCTCTTGTGGTCTTGTCCAAATCCATGATTCTATGAAAACCATTAGCCACTACTATGTTCTGTTGCAGGAAAATCACATTTACCCAGCACACAAACAACACGATTTCATTCCTGCGAAAATTGTATCAGAGAGCCAGCATGGTTGGACTGCAACTCTGGAGACCAGGGTTTGATTCCCCACTCAGCCTGAAACCCACTAGATGACCTTGTGTAAGTCACATGCCTCAGGGGAAGGTAATGGCAAGCCTCCTTTGAACAAATCTTGCCAAGGAAACATGATGATAGGTTCGCCTTAGGATCTTCATAAGTCAGGAACGACTTGAGCACACAATAACAAAATATGTAATGCAACAAAACATATTCAAGGCACACAACAACAACAAATTGGCATAGATCCCTGGTGGCACAGTGGTTAAATGCCTGTACTGCAGCCACTCACTCACAAACCATAAGGTGGTGAGTTCAATACCAGCCAGGGGCTCAGGCTCGACTCAGGCTTGCATCCTTCCAAGGTCACTAAAATGAGTACGCAGCTTGTTGGGGGCAATTAGTTTAAACATTGTAAACTGCTTAGGGAGTGCTTAAGTGCTGATAAGCAGTATAGAAATGTACTTGCTATTGCTATTACCAGCCCCATGGGCTCATCCATTGTACTAGCAAGTGCAGAGTTGAACTGAATAGCATTCCCATATGTAGCATGCAAGGGTGAGGAAAGTGTAACCTGTTCTTGGATGTAACTTCCATCAGTCCAACCAACATAGCCAATGGTGAGGCATGCTAGAATTTGCAATCCGGAGGGATCTTGGGAGGTCCTCATGTTGCCCACCCCTCCATTACAGCTTGAATTAGAAAGGGGCTTAGCTATTGTTTATAGCAGTTTACTTCAGGGGAGTAATAATGACACAATAGGGCTAAAACTGTAGGGAGCTGGGGTAAGGTTTATGGGTTTCATTAGAAGCCCCACAATCTTCCCCCCTTATAATTTGAGCAGAAATTCCCCACCCCACCCCACTGCTTCTTTTAAAATGTACTTTTTTTAAAAAAAAAGTGATTTCAAGATACTAAAATCCTTTTTTTAAATCAGTGTTAAATCATCAGACAGTAGCCATACCATATTTTTCTATATTTGAATAAATCATCCTTGAAATTTTATATCAAAAAAATAAAAATGTTGTTTTGAAAATCCTTTGGAAGACCACACACAAATCCTGTGTCATCTTGTTGTAACACTGAACATTTAACATGAAAAATAAATCTTGCACAGTGTCAAATCTCAGCTTTCAAAAAACAACCCCCCCAAAACCTGTTCTATTCTTCCAGCCATGAATCAGTATAAAATTGGAAGGAATTCTGTGGGTGGCTGTTCAGCTTTAATTCTGCCTTGTGATGTGACAGATTCCTACAGGATAGTGCTTACTATGATGAAAGTTTTTTATTTCAGCAACACATTTGGCCATCACCATTGCCTCCACTTCCTCCACTCCTATATAAAAGCAAACGGCTATACAAAGCTTTAAAAGAACAGGAGCTGATACTGGAGCTGTGTCCAGCAAGTGGATAGAAAAATGTTACAGCTGTTATATATAATACTGCAATTAAAAGAACTGGCAAATTAAAAGAACTGGCAAATGTAATCTCAGAGCCACTGGCAATAATCTTTGAGAACTCCTGGAGGAGAGCAAACATTGTCCCCATCTTCAAAAGGGAGAAAAGAGGATCCCAACAACTATCGCCCAGTTAGTCTGACATCAATACCAGGAAAGATTCTAGAACAGTTCATTAAACAGTGAACATTCAGAAGGGAATGCCATAATCAATAAAAGTCAGCATGGGTTTCTCAAAAACAAGTCATAATCTGATCTCTTTTTTTGATAAAATCACCAGCATACTAGATGAATGGAATGCGGTAGACATAGCATATCTTGATTTCAGTAAGGCTTTTGACAAGGTCCCCCACGATATTCTTGCAAACAAGATAGTAAAATGTGGGCTAGACAAGACAACTATTAGGTGGATTAGTAACTGGTTGACTGACCGAACCCAAAGGGTGCTCAGCAATTGCTCCTCTTCATCTTGGAGAGAAGTGACCAGTGGGTGCCACAGTGTTCCGTCCTGGGCTAGTGCTCTTCAACATCTTTATCAATGATTTGGATGAAGGAATAGGGGGCATGCTTCTCAAATTTGCAGATGACACCAAATTAGGAGGAATAGCTAATACCCCAGAAGACAGGGTGAAAATTCACAATGACCTTAATAGATTAGGATGCTGGGCCAAAGCTAAAAAAATGAATTTCAACACAGAAAAATGTAAAGTACTGCACTTAGGGCAAAAAAAAAAAAAAATGAACTGCATAGACATAAGATGGGGCACACCTGGCTTAACGAGACTACTTGTAAAAGGGATCTAGGAGTCCTAGTAGACCACAAGTTGAACATGAGTCAACAGTGTGATGCCGCAGCTAAAAAGGCCAACACAATTTTAGGCTGCATTAATAGAAGTATAGTATCTAGATCAAGTGAAGTAATAGTGTCACTGTATTCTGCTTTGGTCAGGCCCCACTTGGAATACTGTGTCCAGTTCTGGGCACCACAATTCAAAAAGGATGTTGAAAAACTGGAGCGTGTCCAGAGGAGGGTGACTAAAATGGTGAAGGGTCTGGAAACCATGCCCTATGAGGAACGACTTAAGGAACGGGGTATGTTTAGCCTGGAGAAGAGAAGCGGGGATATGATAGCCCTCTTTAAATATTTGAAGGGATGTCATATTGAGGAGGGTGCTAGCTTGTTTTCTGCTGCTCCAGAGAATAGGACTCAGAACAATGCATGCAAGCTACAGGAAAAGAGATTCCACCTCAACATTAGGAGGAACTTCCTGACAGTGAGAGCTGTTTGACAGTGGAAGACACTCCCTCAGAGTGTGATGGAGTTTCCTTCTTTGGAGGTCTTCAAACAAAGGCTGGATGGACATCTGTGGGGGATGGCTT